ATGCCAAATTATATGTAAATGATTATATATTAAAATTCATAAAAATTTGAAAACTGAAAACATTCTTGTAGAAATTAGTATCAGGTGAATAATAAACCAAGTTACAGAATTCAATATGCTTTACTATAATAGTTTCCCATTCATAATATAAATCAATAACAAATTTATAATTTCAAAAAGATAAAAAGAAACCATGTAATTACCATTACAATTTCCAGAGCAGGAAGAATTCCCAATTTTGCCAAAGTTTTGAAAAATGCATCCCTGTTTTGAGGTTGTAATGTCTGAGAAAATGCACAAAATTCCTTGAAAAAATTAACCTGTAATGTAAAAAATGATAGTGAGAAGATGATTAATATAAACTTGGGGCACTACAACGTGATCCACCAGTGTGGAATTCAGCCTTCTGAAGGAAGTCATCTTTTCAAGAGCATTGTGGCTCCTCAAAATTGACATTAAAAACTATGGACCAGGAGGTGGCTCTGACAGTCTGTAAGGCAATCCCACGGGAAGGTTCCTGGCTTAAGTTCAGATACTTCTCTGAACACACTGGGCATGCACTTATACCAGCTAAAGGCTGGATTGTAGTATCAAAACCCTGTTGGAGGTGCTGTATCTTTCTCTCTTTCTCTGGCTAAATGCTGGATCATGGTATCAAAACTGTTGGAGGTGCTGTCTCTTTTCTCTTTCTCTCTCTTTCTCTCACACACACGCTCTCTCTCATACATAAACATACTTTTAAAAAATTATAAAAAACAAAAAAAGAAACAAATATTAAAAACTAATACCCATTAAAAGTAAACCTCTCAGGGCTGTGTCTGTTCTGCACCAGATGCCACATGGTGACAATGGTTTGAATCCCCAGCCAGGTCAGCCTGAAATGTGGGGTATGGCATGACAAAACCCTGAGGGGTATGCTCATTATCTCTCTTATACTCTCTCTCTCTCTCTACATATATATGTATATATCATCTATGTATGTATGTATAAATAAGTGAAATAAAAAATTTTTTTTAAAAAAAGAACACATATATTCATAGAAGCCATCCTATAATAAACTGTTTGGGTCCCCAGGGTGCCCCTCAAAATACACGGAACAACCTTAAGAATTGAAAAGGACATCAGAGAGTCCCTAGCCTAATAAGCTAATTTTACAAATGGGAAAACTGAGTATCTGCCTAAAAATAAATAATTACAACAAAGATTATTTGAATGGTTTAAATAAGCAATTTTTCATTATTTTGTAGAATCCCAAATACCTGGATATAATGTTATAAAAAAATGCCAAATATCTGGCAAATAGCAATCACTATTCTCTGACTCCAAAACAGACTGTATATCAAAAATTTACAAACACATTTGAAAGCAAAAAAAAAAAAAATTTACAAAAAGACCCCAAATTATTGGGAACCAGCAGTTAGCGTAATGGCTATGTCACTGGACTCCCACGTAGTTGACTGTGGTTCGCGTCCCGGACCCGGGGGCTTAAAACTCACGCCGGGCACGTGTGCGTGCGTGCCCAAGATCCCGAGAGGAGAATGGAGAAGGGATGGCGGCGTGACCATCCCCCCTGGGGGGTGATTTCTCGCTTTCTGTCTCTATGTCTCTGTCTGTCTGGCTGGCAAGCGCACGCGCCCTATAGCGAAAAACCTCTCCAAAAAAAAACAAAAACAAAAACAAATTATTTACCATTCACTTACTGAAGAAATAGTCTTCTTAACTCTTGTTTAAAGAGAAAACACCTTGAGGGACCAACAGTTAACGTAATGGCTATATCACTGGACTCCCATGTAGTCGACCGCGGTTCAAGTCCCAGACCTGGTGGCTTAAACTTACACCGGGCGCGTGCACGCCCAGGATCCCAAGAGAATGGAGGAGAAGGGATTGTGAAGTGGCCATCCCACCTGGGGGGGATAATTTCTTGCTTTCTGTCTCTCTGTCTCTGTCTTTCTGGCAAGCGCATGGGACCTATAGCAAAAAACCTCTCCAAAAATAAAAAATTAAAAAAAAAACACCTTGGGACCAGTAGGTGGCGTGGTAGTGAAGGGCGCTAGACTCCCACATGGCCAACCTTGGCTTCAGCCCTGGACCTGGAGGCTTGCTTTTGCTTTCTCACTTTCCTTCTCTCTCTCACACTCTGCTCCTCTCTGGAGAAATTAAAATAAATAAATAAAATAAAATAAAGTTAAATAAAATCATTCTTTTTAAAAAAAGAAAGAAAACATCTCTATAATATGAGTATCTACTGAACCATTAAAATATATGAGTCCCAGAGGACTGATTGCATCCACTGTTTAAATTCTCAACTCAGTAGCTTGAGAAACACACCAGGCGCATGTACATATGTACCCAAAAGCCTGACATGATGGAAAAATAGAGGAAAAGAGATTGTAGCATGACCACATTCCTTGGAAGGTGCTTTCTTCCTCTACTTCTCTGTCTCTTCTTTGTCTGTTAAGTGCACATAACCTCAGACAAAATTAAAAAAAAAAAAAAAAGTGTGAGTTCAGGCAAGTTGGTGGTGTAGAGACAATGCAAATGGACCAATATGAGAAAGGTCTTGGGTTCATTTCCCAGAACCTCCATGAACACGCTGGGGTATACAGGCCCATGATCTAGGCTGCCTAAAACTGGGGTCAGTGAGTAGTGTGAAGATCCTGTTGGGATGCATATTTTTTCTGCTCGTCTGTCTGTCTCTTTCACAGAAGAAATAAATACACTTAATTTTTTTTTAACTGTATGAGTTTATAATTCTATACTAATATAAACAACTTATCTGATTTGAGGATTTACAGGCATACAAATTCCCTTACTGGGTGTGAGGGGGTAAGGACATGACACATCAGAATATCTTAAGAATTTTCTAAAATATATAGAACAACAAATTTCAGAAATTTTGCACTATCATTTTATGGTTCAATTTAAATATGTATCTTTCATCTCATACTGATTATGAAAAGTCTCTCATGACAAATTTGAGATTAAAAACTGTGCATGCCAAAAGAATGCTCTTTAAGTGTCTGAATTTTAAGAATGCCTTACCAATTCACGCCGTTTATCATCATCTGTAGCCTCATCTGTTAATTGTGCAAAAACTTCAGACAAAAACTTCTCATCTTCCTGAATAAAAAGGAATAATTACTATGAAATATTCATGAAAGTATAAAGTTACACTAATTTATATGATTATACAAATTAGAAGTACCTGAAACCCCAACAGCATTTTCATCTGAGACCTAATAAAACTCAAGGGTATATTTGTATTGCAATTTTCCAAAACAAAATTGTATCATTTGCTTCTACTTAAACATACATTAATATCTAATTAGAAATCTCAGCTATACAGAACTCAGGAAAACAAAAATAGTTATGTTAGAGTTGTTGCATGAAAACTATTTACTTCAACTGAGATAGCTTCTGTAGGCCCTGCTCAGGGTTTATTTACTCTTGATTTAAACACAATTCAAACAAGTGCAAAGTCTTACTATCATCCCACAGCAGATTAAGAAATAAGAATAGAGGCCTGTAGGTGGTGTGGTGGTTAAAGGCACTGAATTTCCACATGGTTGACTGCAGTTTGAGTACTTGCTTTCTCACTTTCCCTCCCTCCCTCTCTCTCGCTCTCTGTCTCTATGGTCAAATTAAAAGATAATAATAACAAAGAATAAAATTAAATAATTTTAAGTAAATACAAATAATAAGACATGGCACAGGGACAGGATTAAAGGAGACTGAATTCTGGAAGACAAAACCAATTAAAACACAACTCATGGGGGCCAGCAAGTGGTACAGAAGTAAAGATGGGGCTGTATCCCACAAGGTTCATATAGCGCAGTTCAATTCTGGACCTGGTGGCTTGAAAACATGCTGGGTGCATGTGTATACTCAAAATCCTGAGGGAAGAATGGAGGAGAAGGGATTGTGGTCATCCCCACTGGGGGGGATGATTTCTCACCTCACCCTTCAATGAGTGCCCACACCCTATAGCAAAACTGAAAAACAAAACAAAAAACAAACACAATTCACAAAATACAATAATCTATGGCCAACTGTTGTAAAGTCTTACAGTCCCCCAAAATATAATTAAATCGGGACCAGCAGTTAGTGTAATGGCTATGTCGCTGGACTCCCACGTAGTCAACTGTGGTTCACGTCCCGGACCCGGTGGCTTAAAACTTACGCCGGGCACGTGTGCGTGCGTGCCCAAGATCCTTAGAGGAGAATGGAGGAGAAGGGATTGCGGCGTGGCCATCCCCCCTGGGGGATGATTTCTCACTTTCTGTCTCTCTGTCTCTCTGTCTGGAGAGTGCATGCACCCTATAGCAAAAACCTCTAAAATATATATATAATTAAATGACAAAACATTACAATTAATTTCTTTTTACACTGATAACTCTGAGCTATTAAGGAGCTACTGGGTCCTTGGGAAAAGTCATGAAGCATTTTTGCATAGAAAAACAGAAAAATACATGACTTTTCTGATGAACCAGTATTACAACAGATGTGTTAATTTCCACAAGCACTGTTTAAAAGGGCAAACAGAAAAATTACAATAGAGTATGTATTTTTTTAATATAAATTTGGGTGCCTAGTGGCTAATAGGAATAGACATTATAATGTGTGGTTATTCGGACCAGCAGTTGGCATAATGGTTATGTTGCTGGACTCTCACATAGTTGACCACGGTTCGAGTCCTGGACCCAATCGCTTAAACTCATACCAGGCGCATGTGTGTGCGTGCCCAAGATCCCGAGAGAGAATGGAGGAGAAGAGATTGTGGTGTGGCCATCCCCCCCAGGGGGTGATTTCTCACTTTCTGTCTCTGTCTTTCTGGCGAGCACACGCCCTATAGCAAAAACCTCTCTCAAAAAAAAAAAAAAAAAAAAAGTAGAAAAAGAAGAAAAACAGAATGTGTGGTTATCTTCTGGCGATAACTATGGTAATTTCCTTTTTTGCTCATCTATATTTCACACTTTTCTATAATATGCATGGACTATTAATTCACAAAGGAAAAAACAGACATACATATTGAAATTTTCTTTAGAGAAGATTTCCATTAAAATCCACTGAAAGAAAATTGAAGTTAGTTGATAATTTTAAGTTTCAATTATCTTCATTTATGAAATGCAATTTCTATTAATTCTAGTTACTCAAAGTAGCACGTTCTAAAAAGATTTTAGCAGAGGTACCTTTATGGTTGATGTAAGATCAAGCCATAACATATAAAGATACATCTCGAATACCTGCCCATTTTCTTACTGTGCATCCATGAAGTGATACTGATCCCTTAAATCCTTTCTGAAATATGTGAAACATAAATAAAAGAATGAAAACCACTAAGTATGATCACACAGAGTATAACATTATCTTACATAAAATGTCATTTGGTGCTACTACTTAGACAACATAAAACACAAGCCATTTCATTAATCTGACTCAAAATGGTATTATTTCAATGACTCCTTTTTAGATTTTATATGCCATGGCTTGAACCATTCTTCTGAAGGAGTCTAAATGTATATATAATCTTTTACTTATGCCTCAAATCACTTTTTCCAATTATTTTTAGTCTGAACATTTCAGGTTTTGATCATATTTACCTCCATTAACACCTTTTATAAATTTTTATCTTCCTGTATCTCTCCCATATTAAATCATCTTCCTTTCCTGTCTGAAGATTTTTAACTTTTCCAGAATATTTTCATAGCAAAAAAGTTCCAATTCCTTGATAAATGCGATTTCCCATTTGAATTCTTATATGATTCAGTACTTGTGAGATGACAGAACTGCATAAAATATCATACACAGAGGCAATCTCAAGTGTTATATATAGTCCATTAGGAGAATGCTTTCTGATGTGTATTTTTTTTCTGATTTCTAGCATTATAATTAATATATTCTTCTGTTCCAACCCAAGTATTAAAGAAGCAAATGACTGACAACTTAAAAATCTACCATGTAGTCTGAATGTTTACTCTTAAATTCCAGGTTCTCCAAGTAATTAAACTAATCTCTTTAGATCCCTTTCTCCCCACTTGATTTTTTTTTTTTTTTT